GCCAGAAATTCCAAATTAAATTTTAAATGAATTTACCCACTTACAGTGTTCTTGATTTGGGTTTTTTTGGTTGACATATTGAAATTTGTAAGCAGGACAATAATAGAGTGTGTATAAATGAGTTCTGGCAGTACAAATCCTTCTCTTTTTTTCCTCCAAGACATAATAAGATAAAAGGAAAAATTGTTATTGAATCATGAAATGGAGTCATCTTGTCAGCCATTCCCACTCTGACCAAAAAGGCTGTGGAAGGTCACAGGTGAGTCTGGGCAAACCCTGCACTGTTTATTGCACCTTGTGGCCAAAGGACCCTGTCATAAATGTGGGGCCCTGAAAATGGGTTTTTTACTTTATCTGTAGCAGGTTTAAAGACAAGTTGGTTTAGTCTATTCTTGAATGAAAATGGAACCATATTCTTTAAAAAGAATAGTAGTACAGATTGGATGCTTTCTAACCTGTTCTTTTAGGTACGTGTTTATATCATTACTCTTAAAACTAGGGAACTTACCTGTTAAAAGAACTTATTTCCATGTAACTCTCTCCCACTTTTCCCCCAGATTAAGGAATGATGATGAGCTCTGGTTCAGAAGATACAAGCTTGAAGCATCTCAAGAGGCAAACAAAGAGAAATTGTTATATTAAGTCACACTCTTGAGTATTTAAGAAGATGTAAGACTCTAAGATAAGCAATTAGTGGGAACCATCCCTCTGATGTGTAAGATAAATGTTAATGCTTTTCTAACTACAGACTAAGATATACCAGTCATCCTTACATTCCTGAATTATAATGAAATGTGGGCCCCAATTAATCTTTGTTATACACTAAGAACAAAAACAAATGTTCCAGGGACAATAACTAGACGGGCTTTATCTATCATACAAAACCTTTTAACCTTGCTAGCATTTTTTACTACAGAGGCCACTGATCAGGTTTAATTACCGAAGTGGTTAGTGCAAGGTCAATTACGTCCAAGGGCCTGGTTCTGGTCAGATTTTCTGTAATTAATGGAATCAAACAAGCTTTGCTAATATTGGTGTGTCCTTATTTAGCCAATCTACTTTTGGCAAAATGATTTCAGGTCGTGGATTCTACTCAATCTGTTGGTATTTACTAATGTATCTCCATAGTCACTAAAGACGAGAGTTCAAATATTGCGACCATATATGCACCAAAAGAATACATACACTTAAAGCTCAACCTGTCCAAAATAGCACACTCTGCACACTCTCCCTTTATCCAGTTTTTTTTTTCTTGCTGTACTTATTATTTTCAGAATGTCTTTTTTTTTTTTTTTTTTGTCTGTCCCCCCATGAAAATATAAGCTCCGTGAGGGCAGGGACTTTAACTGATCCTATCTGTGGTACCCAGAACTATGCCTGGCATGAAGTAAGTTTTCAATGAATACATATGAAATGAACAAACTTAGTGATTGGTTTGCCAAAATTGGTGGCCAGTAGAAGTTTTCACCAGCATCTATCTATTGTTGTTATACCAGGTAAGAATGAGTTCACAGAACCACTCATTCACGGCAGTTTTCAGATATCAAAATGGATTGGAAATTTGGTGTTTTAATATGGCTCTGGTCCTTGCCAATCTTCTTTTCTTTCTCTTTCCTTTCTTTCTTTCCTTCCTTCTTTCCCTTCTTCCCTCTTTCTTTCTTCCTCCTTCTCTCTTTCTCTCGACTGTGTTGATTCCATCACTGGTATCCAAGAGGTTCAGTGGAATAATGACTATGTGCCTGTGCTCCAAACCCAGCTCTGCTCCTTACTATGTGTCTAAAATATCCACTTACCCTCTGGCCCTTCACTATTCTCACACATAAATAGGGATTGAAAGAATTCCCTCATAGGATTATTTTGAGAATTAAAAGAGAGATAATACATGAAAGCACAAAGAGCAAGACGTGAGATATGGCTAACATAATCTGCTATTAGTCTTTTGACTCTCATTTGGATTTTCACTATTTCTGGGGTTTTAACTTCTTTTTTACTTTTCCCGTTCCTTTCCTTAACTTCAGTCATTTTTGAATACTACATGGTATTTTTCTTGCCCTGTGTCTTGCCTTATTCCCAATTATTTAACAAAACTTGCTTCATTATATCTATTCTGTTTGATCTTCTTTTACCCAGAGGCCTCTTACTCAGAGCTCTCTGACCATCTGTGGTAAAGTGCCCAAGTGGCTCCCTAGTCCTACTTTTACCTGTCATCTGTAAAATGGGAAAATACTGGCAGCTGTATCACAGAGTCTTGGGGAGAACTCCATGAGGTAATTGGTGCTAAAGAGTGTCATGCATAGAATTATTCAAATGATGATAGTGAACTATTTTTTTTTTTTACCCACAATGTCTCTTTCTCTTTTTGCTGACTAACACTTGCTCGATTTTTGTTTTTTCCAACCTCTTAATAGTGTATTAAAATTCTGTGCTACCATCATCTAGGACTGCTACTGACTAGATTCTGGAATTGTACACATAAACTACAGGAGGCTAATGTGGAATTACTTCCAAAGGCCAATATGGAGCTTGTACAGCCTGCCACAATTGCTTCTAGCCCTCCTTATGTGGTTTAACTAAACCTCTTTAATGTTGGCTGGATACTTCTGTCTCTATCAGAGAGAGATAAGCAATTTTTTTTTTAATTTAGCAAAGAGAAAGGATAATTAGAAGGGCTCCCTTTTCCCTTCTTTCCCCATTCCCTGTGGCCCTAAAGGAGACTCATATAGGTTTACATGTGACCCTCAGGCCTACCCAGTGCATAGACATTAACAGCTCACTCAGGCACTGGCTCAGCTGTGCTGGCCCTCCTTTCCCAATGGTAGGAGAGCCAATAGACATCTGTTGAGCTTGAGAACCTCACCATAGCAAAATTTTAAGTTGCATGATAGGTACAATTTCACACAGTAAGGGTAGTCTATAGTCAGAAATCTTGTGTGTGTGTCTGTGTGGGTGTGAGAGAGAGACAGACAGACAGACAGACCTTCCCATACTCCTTTCCCTCCCTCAGAGCTGCTCACAACCCTCCACCCCCATGTCCCACCTGTGCCCTCAGGAAGGTGTGCTTAGCCCCCTTTGGCCTGGTTCCACCTAAGACTCAAGAGAGAGGTGAAGGGGTCTAACTATACTTGACTCAACCTGATTTTATTTAGACAACGTTAGTAAATTAGAACACTCTTCTAGCCAGGTTTTCTTGACTGGTCGAGTTGTCCTGAATCCTGAGCACCTTCACCATCTCAACTGCAAACGAACACAGTAACAGCTGCTTTCTTCTCCAGAGGATAAAGACTGCCTCAGAAGAAATTTCTATTTTATGCACTGACTGAACTCTGCTTCACTGAGTTTATTCCAGTCTCTAACAATACAAACTGAACTCTTAAGAAATATTCACACACACCAGTATTCAGCATGAATGCATTCATTTGTGAAACCAATAGTATACTAACAGGCCACAAAAAGACCTAGACTTTGTAATGGCTATGTCAGTGGCAACGCACAACTAAATGTAGTCACCAAATCTTGTTTCATTCTCTATGGCAATGGTTTTCAACTGCAGTCGATTTTGGACACCAGGGCAATGTCTGCTGATGTTTTTAGTTGTCACAACTGGGGTAGGGGGCAACAGGAATCTGGTCAGTAGAGGCCAGGGATGCTGCTCCACATTCTTGGGTGCGCTGAAGTGTGCCAGGATGTGTCACTACAAAATCCACCCCTGTGACAGAAGGATTATTTTGAGCTAAAGACAATTGAGAGCTAGCAGAGGCAGAAAAAAGCTTTCTACCTCCGTGTAACTGCCTAAAAATAAAGTATAAATTTCCTTTTTTTTGTAAATGAAATTTACATTTATAAAGGAAATTTCCATTTGTAAAGACATTGAAGAGAGCTACTCTGGGAGACAACTCTTATCATCTGAGGAACTCTTATCTACATAACAAGACAACCCTATTACCATACATTTCCTTCCCTCACCTTCCTATAATTTGCCTCCCCTGCCAAGAAGCCCCAAACTCTTTTTTCTTTGTTTAGCCTAAAATGGTATATAAACCTCAATTATCTGACCACCTCGTTGAGTCTCTTTCCTTTGTGAAACTGCTGTGTGGATGTATGTAATTAAATTGTTTTTTTTTCCTTGTTAATCTGCTTTTTATCAGTTTGATTTGAAAACTACACCATTGAAAAAGATCTTTCTTCCCCATAGCAAAGGAGCTCTGGACAGTCTCCCACAACAATCATCCAGCCCCAAACAAATGTAAATGGTGCCGAGGCTGAGAAACCCTGTTCTACAGGGATAGCTAGAAATCTAATGCATGAAAAATCAGCTTGGTGTTTGGGAACTTAGTAGCCTAAGAGAAGCCAAACTCATTTTTGTCTATGGCCATGTGTTGTGGACATATCAGAGATCTTCAATGTTTCAAACTGTGCTTAATAAAGTGACTCTGCAGGGTCAAACAGATGGGTCTCATTCCCCCGCTGGTCTGCTGGTGACAGATTAGGAGTGCGACACTACCCTGCTCTGCTGGCAGGACAAGTGTCTTGGTGAAATGAAAAGTTCACCAAAGCACAATGCCAAGTGACACTTGTGTTTTGAGTGTTAGGAAATTAGGGCATGTATAACCCAGTGAGTTTTGCGGGGAGAGAGATATTAGGTAGCTTTTGGTCTAGGATGAATGCCAAGAGGCTGGATGAGCAGCTGGTGAGGTTGCAGATCCAGACAGTCCTCCTGACTGTAGAGGGCGAAAGGAGATCTGCCAGGCTCCAGGTCCCATCCCAGCTTTGGCCAGAGCTGGTGACTATAGGCAAGGAGCAAACCTTTTCTGTGAAATCAGTAGCTCCCCCATGCTCTGTAGGATTCCCTCTAGCTCTGTCATTCTCATTCCATGGTTTCTTATCCACCTGCTCTGGCACACAAGGATTAAGGCAATTCTGTAACAGGACATCAGTGAGGTATACTTGTTTGATAGGCAATAGTATTTGGTAAAGGAAATACAGAATAAAAGGAACATGTGTAGGTTTGCATAAACAGGAAAACCTTTAATTTGATAATCACGTATTCAACAAACATTCATTTATGGAGCATCTCTTCTGAAGAAGGTATACATAATTCTCCATTTTTCTTTCTAAAAATTTGTTTTCAACAAACCAAACGGGAAGTTTCTAAGTTTGTCTGCTTGGATGTATAGCAGTTAACATTCAGTTCCACTAACGATGACCCTCACTGCATTCCCCAAAGGACAGATGGGACTCCACTAGTTAATACCCTTCCAGGTGGTGCTGACACAGCACATGTTTGAATATTCCTCTCTGTGGGAAATAGAGACATAACTTCTCTGCTACTGTAACTTCCTTCACAGCCTTGGTTCTTCAAGGATTTCAAGTGAACTCAACTCTTAGAGACTTTATGCCAACAGGTAAACTCACACAACTTCAATGCAATGCTCTTATTCTGTAGCTCTGGTTCTTGTGTCTGTAATGGCTGCCCACCGTGCAGAACGCTGGCCTCCCATGTGCTCTGGCCCAGAGAGCTGTCCTCCGGGGAGAGGAATGCCTCAGCTCCAACCATCACATCTTCAAAAAGGCCACCTGGAGAAGGAAGAAAAACCCACGATGCTCTACTTCTGTAACATGATGAAACAGCTAAATGCACATTAAATCAGAATCAGGCAAATCTGGTCAATAAGGAGGCATGCTGATCTAAAAAAGAAAAATGACTCTTAGGGCAGACATTGACATTTTACAGCAGGAGCCAATTACTCCTTTTTTAATGAACCATGTCGTAATTAATATGATTCACATACACGTTATAGAAAAAAATGAAAGTTTGTATTGATGCTCAAGTTGTACTGCCGTGAAGTGATTCAGTCCTCTTTCCCACTGGTTCCAATGGCTGTTTGGGACCTTCCTGGAGCAGAATTTTGAGTCGCGAAGATTTCCAGGCAAGTCGAGTTCTGCACAGCTGGCCTCTACTCAGGTAACGCCAATGCTTTCAATCCCATGCAATTATATTTATTGTGCTTGTCAGTAGCAACTGATTTTAAAACTTAGTGTTTAAAAAAATTCAGACAGCTCCACCTACCCACTGAATGAGGCCCAGATCAAATGCATCTATTTTCCCAATAGTTTTAACCAACAGAGAAACAAACAATAAAGTTAATCATAAAAGTTTAGAAAGTTTCAGTTCAGAGGCAATAATAAGTTGGGATGTGTGCCAGTATCAGGAAGAGAGCAGACTGCAGATTAGTGACAAAGATGGAGAAGTGTGGGAGGATTGGCAAGCTCATGTGTGGCCTTCTTGGGGGGGAAAGAGTGAGCAACAGAAATAAAAACATTCTGCTCCTGGACAGTTGGTTCTTAAGTCCCCAAATGCAGTCAAAGGAGGCATGGATTTAATAATCCCTGTTAAGGGGAAAGGAAAAAGGAAGAGTCATGCAGGGCAGAAAGCATCTGTTTTATGTTGAGTAATTCAGAAGGATGTTACTCTTCATACAGTGCTAGTAAGAAAGGCACCTGCTGAGTTTCCATATCAACTTCCTGCTGGGTTTTCTATATCAGGTTCTGCAATGAGAACACCAAAGTTGAAGGAACAGGCAAGGAAGAAAGGTTAAGATTCCTAAACAAAATGTAAACGCAGACAACTGATGCAAACTTCAAGGGCTTACTATGAAGATTAAATGAGATCATAGTTATGAAAATGTGTGTGTTTCACTCCTGTGAAGCTAACTGATATTAGAGGCCCATGTATCTACCAGATAAGAAGGGGCTGTTCAAGAGACAACAGTGGGGTCCCTTAGGGGATGGTCACAGAATTACAGAAGAAGGTGTCCAGTCTGACTTCTGGTTCTCTGTGGATGGTATTTCCATCAAGTGACCCTGGCCCTGTAAGAAAAGTTTATGGGGACCTGCCAAAGAAGATAATGCCACTGTTAAAATTCAGAAACAGGCAAACCATGGATGAAATCTAGTTATCTCCTTTTTAATTCCAAAAATTGCTATGTCATGAAGTATTGCTCCCAGAATAATGGTAATACTGATAAATGTCATCATAAAGTGGTTAATAACTTTAGTTCTGGAATCACACAGACCAGTGGTTCTCAATTTGGGGTGATTTTGCCCATCAGGGGACATTTGGCAGTGTCTTTGGACATTTTTGGTTATCATAAATTGGCAGAATGTTGTTGGCATCTAGGGGGTAGAGGCCAGGGGTGTTGCTAAACATGTTATAATGCACAGCCCCCAAGAAAGAACTATCCACCCTAAAATGTAGAGAATACTGATGTTGAAAAATACCGACATTATGGACACAGGTTCTTAAAACTATTCGCCATATATTCGCCAATTTGCCAGCCATGTGGCCTTCAACAAACTTGTCAGCAGCTTCTCTTAGCCCTTCCTCATCTGCAAAATGGGAATTATAACAGAAACTAGAAACTACTCGAAACTTGTAAAACACTTCATAGCATATTTGGACTGCTTTCACTCACCCTTGGCACAACCTGATTTACATAAAGCAAATGAAGAAACAGAAGCTCAGAAAAATTAAGTGACTTGCTTGGGATACAGAGCTATTAAGTGGCAATAATGGACTGAGGAAGATATTTTGATTTTTTTTTTAATTTATGATAGTCAGAGAGAGAGAGAGAGAGAGAGAGAGAGAGAGAGAGAGAGAGAGAGGCAGAGATACAGGCAGAGGGAGAAGCAGGCTCCATGCACTGGGAGCCCGACGTGGGATTCGATCCCGGGTCTCCAGGATCGCGCCCTGGGCCAAAGGCAGGCGCTAAACTGCTGCGCCACCCAGGGATCCCGATATTTTGATTCTTAATCAATGCTTTCCCACTCTAAGTTTTCAGATGAATGGGGTAAACTCCAGAGATTTGGGGACTTTGATTCTTATTGCTTCAAATATCAAAGATTTATTTTCTTTTGCATGCCAATGAATATGAACTCAGGATGGAGCAGCTGTGTAAGAGACTGAGCTGATTAAATAATGCAAAATGGTGCTGCTGCTGCCCCCTACCCCTAAAAGAAAAAGTTTAAATTTGACCTGTTTTTTTTCCCATCTCTGGTTTTCATAGTTCTGCCTGCCAAGCACATAATGTATTTTGCAGGACTTAATAACAAGAAACTGCAATCATCCTTGGGAACAGGTACTATACAATGCATTTTAGCTTCTTTTTATTTAAAACACTGTGAGTTAATATATTTCAAATGCTGATTTTGTGTTCTCTAGCTTTTATCCATGACAGCAAAAATTGCTTTCCCTAACTGCCATTTATTTTGAGAATAATTTTGTTTCATTACACTGAGAAAACTCCCTGTATTTCATCTTTTTAGCTTTATTCTTCAAAGTGAAGGTACAGCTTCAGGCTCCGTTGCTACATTTCTGGAACATATAGTTACAAAAGTATACATTATGATTAAAAACAAGGGGAAGAGGGACTTTTTTTCTGTTGACTCTAAGGTTTGAGTCTCCGAATTCTGTGTACTTGGATTTGGACAGTTGGGAATAGGAAGAGGGAGAGGAAGTTAAGATGCCTAAAAATAATGTCTCTGCTTTGAGTCATCACCTAAAAACAATCTTCTTAAACCACAACAAACAGGGCTATGCTGATGTGATAGCTGACCAGATGTTAAGTTTAAAATCCTCCATTTACGTATGTTAAATAGCTTTTAATGTTCTTTTATCTTGGTTAACAAATTTATATTATTAAATTCAATTCCTCAATGTAGATTTGAAATTTCAATCAGTAAAGACATATGTTGTCAAGGCAGGCTGTACAAGATAATATAAGCATTAAAAGAAAAGGCTATCTAAGTGCTTTGGGGTGTGCTAAACAAGACAGATAAAACTGGAAAATACTGGAAAATGTGAACTTCATAATAATTGTAAGCTCTAGAAAAGACACTTTAGAATATGCACAGCCATGCACGCATGTTTCTTTTAAAGGGTACTGTAGACTTAAAAAATTAAATATACAAAACCTGCCTTAAATATGTATTTTTGTGTAGGTATGGCTCATGTTCAGAGTTACATTCTGAAGCAGAATGCTTTAATGGCATGGAAAAGAGAGTTTATACTTCATGTTATAAAACTTCCTAAAATGAAATCTTATTTACAAAATAAAAAAATATAAATGTAAATTCAAAAATATCATCAGAAAATGACTCAAGCATTTGTCAAATATATTTAACATCTCAAATAACATTAAGCAATTTCTAGAAACTCACTAAAATACAGCATGGGTCAGGCCCACGTTGATGATACCTGGTCTCCACCTCTCTAAGTTGGAGACATAGTGTAAGGCATTCCTTTCTGTGGGATGGTGGGCTGGCTTCACTCATTCAATTCATTTAATCATTAAGTACTGTCTATGTGCCAGTGATTGTCCCAGTCACAGAGCACACTGAGAAGGCATTCTCTCACGGTGCTAACATGCCAGTGGGGGAGACAGCCCAGGAACGAGATGATTCTAATAAGGTGGGATAAGTTTAAGATGGATGCCTAGCGCCTGCTGGGAGAAAAAAACTATTCTGGGTTTATGAAAGGAAGTACGATTTCTGAGGCAGTACCCTGAGAGAGGTCATTATTACTCTGATTATGAAAACTGTGTTGATGGGGAGGCAAAAACCTGGCATGGCACAGAGGAGCAAGCACTTTTTCCTATTTAAGGACGGCGGCTTGCTAAATGAATAACAAACAGGAAGGATGGAACAACAACAACAAAAAAAGAAACAACACAATAAGGAAGAAGAGCCTGTCCCTCTAAAATGACAATTATGTGTATACTTAACTGGGGACCGAAATTTTAGACTAAGGGAACATTAGTGAAGCCTTCCAACTCTACACTGTCAACAAAAAATCTGTAAGAGCTTTTAGGAAGTAGGAAAAAAGAAGTAAGATAGACGTCTGTGAATTAATTTAAGCCTTGATCTTGTATTTTCTTTAAGCCACAGATGCACTATGGTAACTTATAAATAAAAAGCCTGCTGATTTTCATCTACGTGGGAGCCAGGTAAGTGAAGCATGGCTGTTTTCCAGTGCACATCTAGGTGGAAAGCCAGCAGTATGTCAAGTATCAGAAAAGAGACATGTGTAGGGGAGAAAGGAAGACTGATGCCCCTTGATCTCAAGACAGGACTGAAAATGTGCTCAGATTCAAAAGTTACTGGATCTTGATCCTATTCACCAAATCAAGGAAGTTCCAGACATGAAACTGTCATCACTTCTTCCAGAATATGGGGATGGTGGAGAATACTGCTGACATTGGATGGTGCTCTTATAACACTGTAGTGAACAAGGAGTTCTGATGCAATCACTGAAGCTTCTAGTTATATAAAGCAAACCAAGTAACTGTGCTAATGATAGCAAACTCAGGGGCCAACATTTATATGATAGTAGTCTTTTTTTTTAAAAGATTTTATTTATTTATTTATTCATTCATTCATGAAAGACACAGAGAGAAAGAGAGAGAGGCAGAGACACAGGCAGAGGGAGAAGCAGGCTCCCTGCGGGGAGCCCGATGTGGGACTCGATCCCGGGTTTCCAGGATTATGCCCTGGGCCAAAGGCAGGCCCTAAACCCTGAG